GGACTGTACATGTTGGTAGAATGCTACGCTGACAGACACTGTGCGTTTTGGCTTGACTCTACCACACTACCTATGCGCTACGCTAATTCCCACTACACTACATATTTTGGTAGAATGCTACGCTGACAGACACTGTGCGTTTTGGCTTGACTCTACCACACTACCTACGCGCTACGCTCATTTACACTACACATCATACATATCGATGTACCGTACTTTCCCATGTTATGTTCTTTTGATACTTTGTGTTCACTTTATTTACCTGCTACCGTCATGTTTTTCCCCCTAGCACCTGGGTCTGCAAACTTGAGTCCATCCTCAGTCCCCCCCCCTCCGGTGAGGGGGGCTACCATAACACTATCATACTGGGCTTTTTTTTTCACTCCTAATTTCAGCATGGCTACTAAATAATTGGAAGACAGCAAGTTCTCGTTTACGTTTGCAAACACACTTTGCGGATTTATCTTCAGCCTTATAATTAATTACCAACATTTTCATCTCAGCACACAAATGTTTATCAAATGTTCCGTCCGAGGGCCAGAATACCGACAAGTGTTGCGTTCTCCTGTACCACTTTGGAGATAATTTATAAATTTCCTCCGCCTGTGGAGGCTATTGCACCAGAGGTTTGGTATCATGTATATAGACTCTCTGTCCTGAAAACAAAGACAAGATAGACCAAGTTACCTTTGGTCCATATCACATTTGAATTTGCACTGAAGCAAGCAACCCAATTATGACAGCAGGTAGAAATGCTCACTATTTCCTTAGGTTGTTGATATGTTTCTCTGAGATGAAACTATCTGGCACAGCCTTGATTGTCCACATTTCAGCTCCTTGGTCCCCTCTCACTCCTAAATGTGCACAAAAGCAGCAGTCAATATAGCATTTCAGTATTAAGATGGACAATGTTTCAGCACAAATATTCTTGCCATCTCTATAAAATTGTTTTTTAAGTTGCCCTGAAAATGGTTAGAAGACCACTGGCAGTGAGAAATTCAAGAACTCCTACTATGAAGCCTAACGACATAATTTAAGTTATTGCTACAAAATAGGAGATATTCAGCAACACTGGTGTAGTCCTTAATGCACCACAGTTGCTTAATCAAATTGTTTTACTTATTCCAACGTTAAAATTTTCATATCAAACAAGACTGTACCTGAATGCAATGTCATGTTTCTTTGCAGCTTCAAGGAAGAGCTCCAGAACCGTGGATGTCTTATTACTGGTCATTTGGAGGAACACGATCTAGGACAACAAATGTAGAGTTAACTCAGTAGACTCCTCAAAGTTGCTTTTAAGTGAACTTCTGCATCATACTATGCTGTTCTTAAGCTATTTCAATTAATTACATTTTAGACAATTGTAAATACATTCTGGGGGTGCCTTTCTAGAAAATCTTTCAGTTTCAATCAACCACATATCTGTACAGTAAACAAAAAAAGTGATGCACACAGATCTGTTTACCTTGTGACCCAACACATTTATCCTAGTGAATTAAATCTATTTGCTGGCTGTACTATCAAATCAACTTTTTCCATTTCATTTTTACTTGGAAGCAATGAAGATCAAGCATTATGGAGTTACGAAGATGTTAAACATTAAAGATGCAGCACTGGAAGTTTTTAATAAAGCAATATTGAGGGAGCAGATTTGAACAAAGAATCAATTGCATGCAGCTGTAATAAGTTTATCTAAATTTGTCACTTTTGAACTGAGTCAGGGAAAAAAAAAAAACAAGAGTTTTACCTGAACTTGTCAATGGTACAATACATCTGCTACTACAGATACTACTTATAATAATTTTACCAGTCAACTTAACATCTGTAATTTAGCTTTGTCAAACGTGTGACTGCCGTGTGAGCTTCAATTCCCTTTGTAGACCCACTAGCAGAACAAAACTCGCTTTGCAGACATGTCATGAAGTTTTTATTTAAATCCTACCAGACACTCTTATGTATTCATAGTTCACAATTTAGCGTCTCCAAACCGGTCTGACCTTTAGCTTCTTCAAACTGGTATGTCTGCTCAGACGTTCTAACATCCAATTGGCTGCAGTTCTCCTATTCTAAGACAACAACAACCAGCTCACACACAGTTACTTATTTACACAATGTTAATAAATGCTATATCT